CTCCTCCTCCTCCTCCCCCTCCTCCTTCCTCCTCCTCCTCTTCCTCCTCCTCCTCCTCCTCCTCCTCCTCCTCCTCCTCCTCTTCCTCCTCCTCCTCCTCCTCCTCCTCCGCCAGAGTACTGATGCGCCTGCGCCAGAGAGAGGTAGAGGACTCGGCAGCGGCACTGCCCGCTGGCGAGGGAGGGGGCGTCGGCCCCGCTGATCGTGGGACGGCGGGTGGGGAGGCTGGGGGTCGGGTGCTGCTGCAGAGCGAGCGCTGGGCCCCAAGGGGTACCCGCCAAGGCTGCGTGCCTGAACGGCGGATCGCCCTGGAGGGGCAGCGCGAGTTTCGGTCGAGAGGCTATCGGGCTCCGTAGCGGTTCATATCGAGACTGACTCTCGCGAAGACGACGCTCAGAAGTCTCTGAGTAGCACAGTTGGTGTTCTGGAGTAGATTTCCAGGAGCGACCTGACCTGACCTGACCCCCTCCTCATCCTCTTCCTCCTCCTCCTCCACCTCCACCTCCTCCCCCTCCTCCTTCTCTTCTTATTCCTCCTCCTCTTCCTATTCCTCCTCATCTTCCTTCTCCTCTTCCTCCTCCTCCTCTTCATCCTCCTCCTCCTCCTCCGCCTCCTCCTCCTCCTTCTCAGGCCACGTCGACTGTGGCGCCCAGGACACTACAGGACACTCTTCCTCCTTCTCCTCTTCCTCCTCCCCCTCCTCCTCCTCCTCCTCCTTCTCCTCCTCCTCCTCCTCCACTCTTCTCCCCCTCCTCCTCCTCCTCCTCCTCCTCCTCCTCCTCCTCTTCCTCCTCCTCCTCCTCCTCCTCCTCCTCCTCCTCCTCCTCCTCCTCCTGGCTAGCTCGGCGAGGCGCTGAGCTCGAGTTCTGCCGGGGAGGCCGCCCTGTGGGATGAAGTAAACGGCCGCAAGGCGTGTTCCGCGGCCTCGACCCGAGAGGTTTGTCCGGATCCGGAGCGGATCAGCGCACCGAGGGGATTAGCCTCCCTCCTCCTCTCCTCCTCCTCCTCCTCCTCCTCCTCCTCCTCCTCCTCCTGCTCCTCTTCCTCCCCTCCTCCTCCTCCTCCTCCTCCTCCTCCTCCTCCTCCTCCCCTCCTCCCCCTTTCCACATCTCCCTCCTCCTCTCTCCTCCTCCTCCCATCGCGATCTCCTCCTCCTCCTCCTCCTCCTAACTCCTCCTCCCCCTCCTCCTCCCCCTCTTCCCCATCTCCTCCTCCTCCTCCTCCTCTCCCCTTGTTTACGTCGATCCTCATCCGTCGATCTGAAACTGCTCCTCATCATCATCATCATCATCATCATCATCATCATCATCATCATCATCTCATCATCTCATCATCATCATCATCATCATCAACATCATCATCCTACTTCCTGCCTCCTGCTCCTCCTCCTCCTCCTCCCCTACTCCTCCCTGTCCTCCTCCCTGTCCTCCTCCTCCCCCTCCGCCTCCTCCTCATCATCATCATCATCATCATCATCATCCTACTCCTGCTCCTGCTCCTCCTCCTCCTCCTCCTCGTCCTTCCTCCTCCTCCTCCTCCACTCCCTCCTGTTCCCCCATTCTCCTCATTGTCGTCATCGGTATTATCATCATCAGCAGCAACACTATCAGCATCATCATCCTCGTCACCATCATCTGCAGCCGCAGCGATATCATCCTCATCATCATCAGCAGCAGCATCATCATCCTCATCATCATAATCATCATCCTCATCAGCATCATCATCATCATCATCATCAGCATCATCATCAGCATCACCATCATCATCATCATCAGCATCAGCATCATCAACACCAGCATCACCAGCATCATCGTCATCGTTAGCATCGGCATCACTCACATCATCATCACCAACATTATCATCACCACCTTCATCCTCATCATCGTCGCCGTCGTCGTCATCATCGTCATCACCATCCTCACCCTCATCACCATCAGCATCATAAGCACGCGTTTCGTTACTCCGTCTCACGCTGCGGCGCAGCCCTGCTGAGGTGATATGCAGTCACTGAGGTTGGAAGCTCTCGCTGTTGCTGAAGGGAGCAGAAAGTCATCATCGCCATCATCATCATAAGCATCGCCATCACCATCACCATCGTCAACCTCATCATCACCATCGTCAGCATCATCAGCAGCATCACCATCGTCATCGCCGTCATCAGCATAATCGGCAACATCATCAGCATCATCATCATCATCATCAGCATCATCATCCTCAGCACCAGCATCATCATCATCGTCATCATCATCATCATCATCAGCATCAGCATCGTCACCGCCGTCATTATCATCAGCAGCATCATTACCAACCTCATCATCAGCATCCACAGCGGCATTATCATCATCCTCAGCAGCATCATCATCATCTTCATCATCAGCATCAACATCACCATCGTCCTCAGCATCCTTTGTATAAGCACTTCATGCCTATCCCCCAGACGGTTCGGTAGGGCGGGTTGGGCGATTCGCCAACGATTTCCTCACCATCGACTGCCTGGAAGCTTGAACTGCGCAGCAACGTCAAGAATTCAGGGCAGGTGGCGTTCAATATGTGGCGATCGCATTAGCCATAGCGCCGAGCATACTCGTCGTAAATGTTCGCAGCAGGTCCGTTGATGGGCGGCGTGCGGTTGAACATGTGGTTCTCGCAGTAACGCCGCGCGAAATCGTCCCCCAAAAAGGTTCAGCCGACTGCAACCGTTCAATGATGGAGGGTGGTTGTTTATCAAGCTGTAGCTCTCGCTGCAGCGCGGCGCGCATTCGTCTTCAAAGTTCGCTGTAGTTTCAAGGGTACGGGTGGTTGAAATCCTAGGAACAGTCTTCTGCCACGATTTGGGATTGTCAGGACCGTTGATTCGCGGCGATGAAGTCACAGGAACTTCGTTTCGGCGCGATTGTGGATTCTCAGACGGCTGTCTCCCAATGGCGCACTACCAGCAGCGAACACGAACCATTGTGGGGACGTGTGAAGAGTGAAGTTTGAGGAGGCTTGTCTTACAATATCGTTAATGCTTCTTGGGTGTACATTGGCTGTCATCCTCCTTCTCCTATCTTCTACCTCCTACCTCCTACTTCCTCATCCTCCTCTTCCTCCTCATCCTCCTCCTGCCTCCCTCCCTCCCTCCTCCCGTCTCCCTCCTCCCTCCTCCCTCCCTCCTCATCCCTCCTCCCTCCTCTTTCCTACAGCCTCCCTTCTCCTTCCTCCCTCCTCCATTCTTCCTCCCCCCTCCTGCCTCCTATCTCCTACCTCTACCCCTTGCCCACTACCACCTACCCCAAGCCCCTTACCTCCTACCTCCTACCTCGTGCCTCCTCCTCTTCCTCATCCTCCTCCTCTTCCTCCTCCTTCCCTGGCTCCTCGTTATGTTTCTTCTCCTCCTCCTCCTCCTCCTCCTCCTCCTCCTCCCTCCCTCCCTCCCTCCCTCCCTCCCTCCCTCCCTCCCTCCCTGCCTCTATCCCTCCCTCCCTTCATCCCTCCCTCCCTCCCTCCCTCCCCCGCCTCCTCCACCTCCTCCTCCTCCTCCTCCTCCGCCTCCTCCGCCGCCTCCTCCTCCTCCTCCTGCTCCTGCTCCTCCTCCTCGGCCCCCTCCTCATGCCAAAGGCTAGCCGCACCCCTTGGGGTGACACTCGTGCGGGGCGCATGGGGCGCCAGCAAGGGAGTGCACAAGGCGCACTCCCGACGAGCACCCACACCAGCACCTCCAGGGCTAGGTAGCCAGGGCGACGCATCCCTCTTGCAGCTTGCTCCCTTTGTCGTTGCTGATCCTTCTCTCCAAGCGGGCTCCCCGCTTTCTCGATCTATCCAGCTCATCCAGATTACCCCACAGGATCGCGTGCGCGGTAAGGCGCACGCGGCGGCAACGACCGCCGCCCCAACCCCTCGTGCGCGCGCCGAGGCGCACAGGGCACGCAGACCGACACCCTGGGGACGGGCTGCTGGCCCGCCCCCTGAAATAGCACAGCTGGTGCCACCCCTGAGCTGCCCCTGCCACGCGCAGGAACACCACGGCAGCAGCTCGTCTCCCTTCGGTATCGCTTGTCTCTCTTCGGCGTTTCTCGCTTTCCCTCTCTCTCTCTCTCTCTCTCGCACCCCAGGGCGCGGCCACAGCGGGTCGGGGCCCGCCGCGGACGCGCGCGCGTTCGCGCGAGGCTTGCCGCCCTCACGGCGGCTGGCCTGGCGTCAGGCAGGCCCGCCCCAGCAGGCCGCAGGCGGCCGCGCGCAGGCGCACGGCCGAGCAGGCCCTGGGCCGCAGCTGGGCTGCGCCCAGGAGGCGGCTGCGCGCAAGGCGCGCAGCCGAGAGGCCCGCGGGGCCAGCGGGGAGCCCGCCAGCAGCGCAGGTCCTGCGCCCAGCCGAGCGGCCGCCCTGAGTACGGGTCCTTGCCGCTCAGCAAACGGCTCGGGTAGAGCCTCTTCTTCTTCTCTCCAGGCTTGGCCTGCGGCCCTGTCGGCAGGCGGCCGCCGCACTCGGCCTTCAGGCCCTTGGCGTCAGCTGTGCGAACGCCCCGCGCTTGCAGCAGAAGGCGTAAGGCCCCGCCGTGCGCAGGCCGTGCCCCAGCTGCGCCTCGGGCACCTGCACCTCGCCGCGCGGCGGGCGGGAACTTGCCACCCGCTCAGGGCTCCTCGAGCGCTGGGCAGCGCGGGCCTCCGCGCTCGGCGCCTGGCCACCGCCGCCGCACTCGCCAGGCACGGCGGCCGCCGCAGCCACCGCCGCCAGGGCGCAGGCAGCCGCCACGGGGAGGCCCCCCGCCCCGCAAGCCGCAGCAGCCTCGCCTTCTCCGTCAGATCGCACAGGATCGTCGTACCCAGCAGCCTCGGCTTCGCCGCGATCGTCCTGAGCCGCCTGCGCTGGCTGCAGCAGCGCCTCCTGCTCCACCGCGGCCGCAGGCGGGGGCGGAGGCAGCCCCGACGGCGCCGCGTCAGGGTGCGGCCAGCCGTCCTCGTCGTCACTGCCGCTGCCCTGGTCATCGGGAGTGCCCTGCATCACGTTCACCAGCGGCAGCTGCGGGTTGCGCCAGGTGCCTGGCCACGGCCGCCGCAAGGCCTCGGCACCACGGCCGCGGAGGCCCTGGGGCCGCGGCAGCCCAGCTTGGCGGGGCGGCTCGCTGGAGCCAGTCCAGCAAAGCCAGGAAGCGCAGACAGGTTGACCGCTGCCTCGCCGATGATGTCCTCCATGGCGCTGCAGACCTCGTCGAGCGTGGCCCACTGCATGGCGGCAGCGTGCAACCACTCCTCCAGGGTCGCCAGGCCCATCAAGTGCCCCACGGTGATGCGCCGCACATCTGCTTTCATGAGCCACGCCTGCCTGACCATCGCCTGGACCAGCGCCCGCAGGCCTATGGAGCCTGCGCGCCTCGTGGCCACTGCCCCCGCGTCCCCATTCTCGGGCCTAGCCGGCCAAGTGAGGGCATACTGCGCCGCCCAGGCCATCCAGCCGTCCTCCGCGGCATCCGAGTTGCGCAGGTCGAACGCCCAGCAGCCCGCGAAGGCCCTCAGCATGCTGCGCTGGACCTCGAGGCCGACCGCGGCATCAGGGTCGGGGCTGCTGTTGGGCTCGGACCCGCTGTGGTTCGCAGGTGGGCCCCGCCCTGGCGGGGGGCGGGACCTGCTGGCCGATTGGCCCGCGCTGCGCCTGCGCCGTTGGGCGGGGTGAGCCCGCGGGCCCACGGGCCGCTGTGGCCCCTCGTCGACGCCTCCTGGCCGCGGCAGCGTCGGCCCCTGCGGCGCGGCTTGGCCGCCCGCAGGGCCCTGCGGCTGGCCAGGGCGGCCCCTCGGCGGAGACCACGAGCGCCCGCGCCGCTGAGCCGCGCCGCGCTGCCGCCACCAGCCGCCTCCTCCGCCGTTCGCCTCACCCGCGGGCTCGAAAAGGCGAAGTGCAGTGGCCCACGCCTTCCCCCGGCGTGCTGCGCGCTGCCGCGGTCGCACAGGAAGGCCCGCGCCGCGGCGCGGTAGCCCCGCAGACGCTGGAGCTTGACCCGCCTGGCCTCGCCCTCCAGCTGGAGCGCCTCGTCGATGTGGGCCTCCCTGAACGGCCCGCCGCCCCGCCAGCCGCGCTCGCAGAACTCCCCGGCCCGCCTCAGCCGCTCCGCGCTGCGCGTCTCGGCGCTGTTGTGCACGAAGAAGCCGCGGTAGGCCGCCTCGTCCAGCATCCTGTACACGTAATCGACGCACTCCTCCATCCAGGACGCGTAGGCTAGGCTCTGATCCATCAGGTCGACGATCCAAGAGCTAGCCAGCGTGCACAGGGCGGCCTCTCACGGCCCCGAACGGTCCCACGCGTCAATTCCGAAGAGATCGTTGCCCGCCTGCGGCCTCGCCAGGCCCACCTGCCGCGCAGCGCCGCCATGCCCGCAGCCTCGGCCAGGGCGGGGCTCAGGCTGACCTGCCCTATGCGCCTGTGGCGTCTCAGCAGCCTCGGCGTCAGCAGGCCCAGCGGTAGGGGCGCCCTTGGCCGCCTCCAGCAAGTAGTCGATCTTCTGCTGCATCGTCCTCCTCTGGCAGTCTGCCGCGGTGGGCGCCCCATTCGTGGGCGGGAGCTCCTCCTCCTCCAGGCGCTCAGCCGCCTGCAGGCTCGCGTTGACCGCTGCAGAGCTAGCCGGCGGTCGATCCTGACGGCAGCGGGCCCGCAACCTGCCCAGCTCCGTGGGCTGGCAAGGCCTGCAATCCAGCAGCGCCCGTGCCTTGGCCGTGTAGGCCTCGCGCCCGCAGTGCACGCATTGCACCCCGCATGAGCTGATGGCTTGGTACTCGTGCCGCGTGAGGCTGAGCTTCGGGGCAGCTGGCTCCCTCCAGACATGCCGGCGCTGGAGCCTGCCGTCTTCCCCGAGGGGCCCCCACAGGTCCAGCTGGCAGATGCGCGCCGCCGCCCAGCCCAGGTACGTGGCCGTGTCCAGGGCGCGCTGGAGCTCCGCGCGCAGCGCCTCCGCCGTGTTGTTCGGCAGCCTGGTCTCTGCAGCGCCGAGGTTGGCGAATAAGTCAGCCCAGCAGCTCCCAAGCCAGCCCAAGGGCCGCAAGCCCTCGGCCAGCGCTTGCTGGAGGCTGCGGTGGGCAGGCACCCAGCGGAAGCGCGGCGGCGGCCCATCGCGCCTCGCCGCGGCCGCGTGGAGCTGGCGCCAGATGCTGGCGTGCCGTGCTCTGGCCGACTGCGCCGTCGGGGACCAGCTGTTGCCCTCCGTGACTGGGGACTGCAGGTCGCTGACGATGACCTGGACGGAGCCCGCCTGCGCCAGCGGCGCGAGGCACGCATGCCGCTCCGCCCTCCCCACTGTCTGGCGTGGCCCAGGCAGCGGGCCGTAGGCCGCCTTGAGAGGGGGCCCATCGGGCCTGAGGGCAACTGCAGCCCACCCACACCTGCGCGCCTCAGGGACTTGGGAGGCGTGTGCTGAGCCATCCGTGTAGACCACCGACGGCCGCCCCACCTGCGTGGCGCTCCACTCGATGACCACGTTGTCCGACGGCGCAGGCGGCGGCATCGCTGGCAGCAGCGGCAGGCCGTACGCCAGCGGCAGCTCGCTGTCCCCGATGGTCCACTTCTGCTCGGCATCCTCCAGCTGGTGGCGCATCGCCACGATCGGCTTGTGGAACGGCTCCTCGTGCTCCAGCTCGTCGTCCCGCGGCACCATGAGAGCAGGACATACACACCACCTGTGCATCAGCGTGTCCTTGGCCCCCCCGCAGGCCTGGCGCACGTCGAAGTCGGTGTAGCCGCGGGCGTACCTCCAGGCATTGGTGAAGTGCCCTCCTGCCCACACCGCTTGGATGGCCCCCAGCTCCGCCGCAGGCCGTGCTCTGCTCGCAATGGCTCGGACGGCCCTAGGCCAAAGGGTCTCGCCCTGGCCCTCGGGCAACTGGGCCACCAGCCGCCTGCACTGCCAGCGCTGGATGCCCTCCACCAGCGCGTCCTTGATGTCCCGAGGGGCAACCCGCAGCATGGACAGCGTATCGCCCAGGTCGGTCTGCAGGGCCCAAGCTGCTGTCATGGTCCAGCCGATGCGGCCGAGTGCGAGCCACGTGGCCCCGAGCGGGCCGTGCGCCGTAGCCCAAGACAGAGTGCCCGCTCGCACCGCCTCAGCCAGCTTGCGCCGGCTAGCGTTCAGGCTGGCAGGGGAGCCTCGGCCCTCCCAGATGCGGCTGGTCAAACGCATCACCAGCGGGATGGTGGCCGCGTAGATGGGGTCGTCCACGCGCCGCTGCAGCAGCATGACCGCGGCGGTGCCACAGCCCGCCTTGGCCCCCGCCGTGACCGCCGCCAGCGTACACAGCTGTGCCAGCGGCCGATCCGCCAGGCCAGCCACGCCAGCGCCATGGCCAGCCGACGGGGAAAGCCCCGTGGCGACCAGCGCCGCCGCGCGCCTCCCAGCAGCCCGCCTGAGCATGGCCACTCGGCTGCGCCTGGCCGCGAGGGCTTGCAGTCGGCGTTTCCCCTGCGTGCGGAGCACCTTTCGCCCGTGGAGCTCGTGCCCTAGGTTGCGCATCCTGAACTTCTCAGCGAGGCCCCTGCTCCGCATGGAGGGCGCCAGCAGCCGCGCCCGCCGCCTGGAGGAAGCTAGGTACCCCGACTTCTGCGGCTGATGACCAGCCTGAGCCCCACCATGCTCGACGAGAAACTTCTGAGCGCCTCGGAGAGGCTGTCGTCGGGCACGCCACGAGGCTGCTCCAGTCCAGGGTGACGTCGTCCACGAGGCCGCGCGGCGTCACCGATGGCGCAATGGAATGCGCCCGCTGCAGCGCACGGAGCGTAAGCACCAGCAGCAGCGAGTTGGCGTGGCCGCAACCGGCGATGTTCCCCTGCCAGGCCACGAAGAGGTCCGACGTGGTGTTGAAAGCCGCCAGCGTCCGTGGCTGCCGATAGGTGCTAAGCAGCATCCACGCCAGCCCCAGGGGGAACCCCAGCGCGCGGGCCTCCACGAGCTGAGCCTCAGGAGCCACCATCTCGTAGGCCTTCCAGAGGTCGAGGGCAGCTTGGGCAGAATCCCAGCCGCCGAGGCGAGCCTGCTCCTTGGCCAGGTTCAGCTCGCACGCGGAGCCAGAGCTCGAGCGGCCAGGGCCCGTGCCCCAGACCAGGGACGAGGGGTGGGCAGGCTCCCAGGCCTTGGTGATGGGCCTTCGCGCTCGACCCCACACTCTCACCAAGGTCGGCATGAGGCCGAGCAGCCTGCAGCCACCCTCAGGCTTGGGCAGCCTCACCATGGTGTTGATGAGGCGGCCGCTCGGCCACACAAGGGGCTCTTCGCACTTGTGGAAGACCGCAATCATGACGTGCAGGGCGTCATCGGAGAGGTCTTCCAGCGCCCTCGGCGGAATGCCCGGCTGGCCCACCCCTGTGCGCCAGGGGAAAGAGCGGAGCACATCGTGGACATCGTGCAGCTGCAGTGGCGGCAGCGCGTCCCACGTGTGCGCGTCGCTCGGTAGCACCATGCTGGTGAGGCCGTGGTAGTTCCAGATGTCGATCCACGGCTTCATCTCCCTGTCCACTAAGGCCGCCGAACCTTCCGCTTGCAGCGCGGGCAGCACCTCCTGAAGCACAGGGGCCTTGGAGGTCGCGTGCGCCGCGCCAGCGCCGCCCAGGAAGGCCTCATCCACCCACTTCTTCCAGCGGGCCTCGTCGGCCTGAACCATCTTCCGCTGCCTCCCCTGCGCCTCGGCCAGCGCACGCTTGAGGTCGCGCTCGAAGTCGGTCTCTGTCCAGTTGGCGTCGGCTCGGAAAGGCCGTTGCGCCCAGGGCGGCAGGATGCGCCAGCGCACGTGGTCCCCGATGTTTGCCACGAACATCCTGAGGTGCGCCAGGGTGGCCGCAATCGGCTTCATGCACTTGTCCCTCGCCGCCGCCGCCGCTCTGCCTTCTTCCTGCCTGTGGCTGTCCAAGGCTGCCAGCAGCTTGGCCAGGCGGTCCCGTTTGCTGAGGAGCTCGGACGCACACCCAGCCAGCGCCGCCCAGGCATGGGCCTCTGGCCCCCGCAGCTCCCGCTTCTGGGGTGGCCTCCACTGCGCCAGCTCCCATTTCAAGCCAGCATCCTCCCCCTGCGTGCCACGCCCTGCGAAGGTGCGGCGGGCGGGCCCCACCAAGTCCCGCCTGTTGAGGATCTCCGTCTCGACCCCTTCCAATAGTAGACCCCAGATGATCTGCAGGCCTTGGCCGTCGTGCGTGGCCTGGACGCAGCGCATCACCTCCGTCCAGCGCCAAAGGCCGCGGGCGCAGCCAGACTTTGCGGCCTCCTTCGGAACGGCCCTCGGCTCGCCGAGCACCTGCTGCCACCTCCACGCGCACCGACCGCAGCGGCAGGTGGACGGGCCAGTGGGGCCACGTGCTGGCGTCCCTGTCCAGCAACGGGGGCGCCGCCGCAAAGCACGCCAGGCTCTTGGACACCACGACGTAGTCAATCTTGGAGCCGCTGCCCTGTCTGCAAGTGGGGGCGTCCGCGACCCGAATCTGCGCTCGCAGCTTGCGGACCCAGCCAAAGTCCAGGACGTCCGCCTCCATGTTCCAGTCGCCCATGGCAGCCCAGTGGTCGCCCTCCGCCTCCAGCACACCGAGGTACTGGGCCAGCTGCCAGAGGATGCCTAGGTTGTTCGCCGAGAGGCCCTCTCCGACGTGTAGGTATACGCTCAAAACCACCAAGCCTCCCTGAGGTCCTGCTCGAACATGCCCAGCAACCAAGCGCCCAGGCACAAGCACGTGCGAGTCGCGCCCAGGGGGCCCCGTCAGCTGGATGCTCGTGGGGGCCAGCACCGCGACCCCGCCAACCGATCCAGTCGTCGTGGTCGGAGACGGTGTGGCGGCACTCCAGACTCCGTGCCACCCTGCATCCTTGGCCGCCCGTTGCTGCGTCGCCCGAACCTTGGCCGCACAGTGATGCTCCTGCACAGCCAGCGCCAGGGTCGTCTGGCCATCCGCCTGACGGAGGTACTCGTTCAAAGGCCCCCGTGACGTCACATTGGCAGTGGCCAGGCAGCAGCCGCCCCTGACCATGGGCGTGCGCTGGCCCACGCGGCCAAGCGATGGGCCAGCAGCACCTGGCGGCGAGCCAGGTTGGGCAGGGGCCCGCGGGAGGGCGGCACCGTCCCGCGGCTGCGGGGGCGGAGCGAGCGGGGGGCTCGAGCTCCGCATGGGGCGCGCAGGACAGACTACAGCACCATCCGAGGCAGGGTCTCGGGGCCTGCAGTCTTCCTGGCATTCAGGAGGACCGAACTCCTCGAGCACCTGGTCGCTAGCCTCCAACGAGTTGCCGAAGGCGGAGTCCATGCGGGGGAAAGGCTGCGACTTCGAGGGGCTGAATCCCTCCGCCTCCCCCCCTGGGCCGTACCCTGGGGCCGACACCCGTGGTTGCCAGTCAGGAAGCCCCACCTGGTCAACCACCTCTGACATCCTGGGGCCGTACCCTTGATGGCCGAACACCCCCATCAGCCCAGAGTGGGTCCGAAGGTCCGCCCTCCCGAGAGATCACCTCCAGCACCATCATGCAGGCCGTGCCCTGAGGCCGGCACCTGTGGCTGCCAGTCAGGAACCCCCACCTGGTCAGCCGAATCTGACATCCTGGGGCCGTACCCTTGAAAGGCGAACACCCCCAACAGCCCCGAGGGGGTCTGCTGACTCCCATCCCCTCCGAAGGCAGCCCCAGCGCCGCCCGCCTGCAGCGCCCCCGCGTGCAGCAGCCCCAGCGCCGCACCTCCAGCAGCCCCTGCCGCGCCGTGCACTGGCTGCGCCTGGCCCCCCTGGCCTGGGCAGCCAGCGCCCCAGAAGTTGCAGCCGCCCAGCTCGAGGGCAGCCTGCCCGTCGGCCTCGTACAGCTCGCTGTAGTGGGCCTCCCAATTGCCACTGTCGTCCGCCATGGCGCCTGAAGGGCCCTCAGGCCGAGGTGCGAGCCCGCTTGGGCGGCAGCAGGTCCATGCCGGCGTAGAACCGCTTCAAGGCTTCACGCACAGCATCGTCAGCAGGACGATCGCTGCCCTCGGCCCCAGCCGGGGCGGCGCCCACCTTCGTGAGGAAGTTGAGCTGTGTGTCGACGTCCAGCTCGTCGTCGCCCATGGCGTCGCACCCTGCAGGGACTCCTTCCCCAGGGATCGGGGCGCGGCTCTCCGCAGGGGAGGCTCCTCCAGGCGCCCCCGCACCAGGGCCCCCAGCAGGTCGCTCGCGCGCGGCCGCCTGGGCGGCTCCTGCCGCCGCAGCCTCCGCAGCCTTGGCCTCGCGGCGCTGCTGCTCGAACTTGGCCGCCTGCTCCAGCAGCGACGCGTGCGGGGCCCCTTCGACCCCGAACGAGCCGAGCACCTTGCCCAAGACGTCGGCGGAGAACTCGAGGCCCTCGACCTGGGTCTCGCCCTCCAGGCCATCGCGCAGCTCAGCAGGAGGCTGAGCCAGCTTGCCAGGCGTGCGAGACTGCTCCGCCCTGGGCTCGACCAGCCTCGCCTCCCGCTCGACGTCCGCCAGGCGCAGCGCGTGGGCCTTGGCTTCGAGCTCCTTCTGCTGCGCCGCCACCGCCGCCAGCTCCCCGCGGCCCTTCTCCTGCTGCTTCTCCAGCTTCTTGATCTGGTCCGCGAGGCTCTGGAGCTGCACGTCCTTTGGCTTAGCCAGAAAGACTTCCTGGCGCAGCTGCTCGCGCTCCGCCTCGAGCTTGGCCTTCCTGGTGCGGGCGGCCTCCACGAAGTCGTCCACGTCGTCCTCCATGTCCGCCCAGCGCCGAATCTCGCCCAGCTGCTTGTCCAGCTGTTCCAAGCGCTGGCGCTTCGCGTCTCCCGCAGCGCCGTCGCGCCAGGGGGGCGTGCCCCCCCCCAGGCGGGGAGCCTCCGCCAGGCCCAGGCTGGACCGCCGCCGCCTTGAGCTTCTTGATCTCGTCCAGCGCCTTGGCGAGCTTGACGTCCGCGTTGCTGCGCGACGGCGCCGCCTCCACGGGCTTCCCGCCAAAGTGGGAGCTCTTCGGCATGTTGCACCACTTGCGCTGCATTCGCTCACCGAAGTTGAGCTTCCTGAAGCCCTTGGCGTCAGGGACGCTGCAGGACTTGCAGTACCAGGGGCTCTTGGGGGCTGCCCTGGCCGCTGCCCCCGACCCGAGGCTGCGTGGCCCGCCGCCTGGCCCACCTGACTTGCCGCTGCTGCCTCCACCGCGCGCGCCGCCCCCAGCGCTGCCCCCTGCCATGGCACTCGCCCTCGGAGAGAAGGCGCCCACAGCACGGCAAGGAGGAGAAGGGCAGCCGCGCGCCGCGGCCTGGCAAGCTGGCTAAGCTTTGTCGTACCTTGGCCCAAAGCGCGAGACCCCTCGCGCTCAGGGGACGCCCGCGAAGGACTCGCGGTCGTCGGGTGTCTCATGGCCTTGAGCCAAAGTGGCTACGGATGTCTCTCTCTCTCTCTCCCTCTCTCTCCCTCCCTCTCTGCCTCTCCTTCTCTCCCGGTGCTGCTGCTGCTGCTTTCTCTTCCACTGTTGTCCGCTCCCGCTGCTGCCGCTGGCTCTTCTTCGTCTGGTGTTCGCTTCCTTCCACCCCTGCCCCTGTGTTTGCCCATCCTATGTGCCGTGCCAGCGGTGCACGGCTATGTTGGCCAGTGGGGGGCCTGCCCCTCAGCACACAGTGCACAGGAGCCCCTCTGGCCATGTCCGCGGAGGGGCTCCTGGGAACATAAGAATGGCCATATTGTGAAGGCCTGACTGCCGGTGCCGCCGACCCTGAAAGGTATCGACGACGACCAGGAGGGGGAGGAGGAGGCGGAGATAAGGAGATAAGGAGATAAGGAGATAAGGAGATAAGGAGACAAGGAGAGGAGGAGGAGGAGGAGGAGGAGGAGGAGGAGGAGGAGGAGGAGGAGGAGGAGGAGGAGGAGGAGGAGGAGGAGGAGGAGGAGGAGAGGGAGGAGGAGGAGGAGGAGGAGGAGGAGGAGGAGGAGGAGGAGGGAGGAGGAGGGAGGAGGAGGAGAGGAGGAGGAGGAGGGGCCAGGGCTTCCGCGGGCCCCGCATTGTTTGGGCGCTGGGTAGCATGGGGGGGGGTAACTTGGCATCGCTCGGACGTGTGCATTTTGGGGGGGCGAGGGCCATCAAGGAACATCCTGGAGCATCTTGCGCGAACTGGGCACGACATCGAAAAGTGCACAGGGAATGCACGTCTGAGCGGTGGCAAGGCAGTGAACCCAGACGACCTCGCGTCGTGAAAAAGGCAGGACGGGATGCGTTTTTCCATTGTCAGCCTCTGGGGGGCACTCGCCGGGCCCCAGGACCGTGAGAAGCTACTCAGAGTGAGCAGGCCCCAGGGAATGGGTCGAGACCTTTCTGGGGACCGCGCAGTGCAGATATCGAGACATCAGATGTCTGGGAAGAACGGGGAAGAGTCGAGTACTGCAGGAACGTGACCTTGTGGGGGGCCACCCAGGGCTCACCCGCAGACCCAGCAGGAGCTGGGACATGCGAGTGCGCTCCCGCGACCCTCGTTGATTCCCCCCCCCTCCCCCCGGTCAACGAACGCCCGATGCGGAAAAACAAGCATCGGATGTTTGGGCCCTTATCCAGAGATCCGATCCCTTGCTTGGGAGGGCCTTACGGCCGGTGCCACCGACCCCGGACGACGAGACGACCCCCACGATGGCAGAGGTATCCGGGAAGGTCGAGGTCAGACCTCCCAAGAGTGCCCACGAGGCTACACGAGGCCCCCAAGAGTCGGCCGTCTGGGCTCGGATCCCGAGATCCGGCGTCGTGATCTGTGCAGTACGGGGTCCCCGAGAGTCCCGATCCTTCCCCGGGGGGGAGGCTTTTCGTCTTGAGTTGTTACTTGACGGCCCCAGGGCCCGCCGAGGGCCGAAAACCACGAAAAAACAGCGGTCGGGCGTGTTTCAGTGAGTTGGAGACTTCTGGGTCATTTCCCCCCCGCCCCCTCGTCGACGGGCGCCCGAAGTGGAAAAATGAGGACATCGGATGCCTTGGCCCTTACCCACCCTCCTCGTCAACGGGCGCCCGAGATAGAAAAACGAAGACCTCGGATGCCCGGGCCCTTCTCTCCCCCCACCCTCTCGCTCCCCCTCCTTGGCGAGCCGCTGGCAGGAGCAGCTGGACGAGCTGATGGCTCTGAAGGAGAAGGAGGTCGCCCTGGTGCAGGCCAACGGCGTCATCTTCCTCCTCCTCCTCCTCCTCCTCCTCCTCCTCCTCCTCCTCCCACCCCTCCTCCTCCTCCTCCACCCGGCTCCAGAGGGAGCCAAGCATGGATGCAGTCGTCAAAGGGCCGAGGACGCCATATTGGGGCTGCCACAAGTGTGGAAGAACCAGCAACTGGGCGTGCAGAGTGCACTGTCAATGCGGTCAAAAAACGCCCAAGCATGTTTTGGATCGAGCGAAGACTTTCGGCAATGGGGCGAGCTCTAATGCTGGTGGTACTCGTGGTGGTGGTGGTGGGTCACACGTGCTCGGAGATAAGCGCCAGGCGAAGCTTGAGAAGCAACTGGCAGACATCACCAAGCGATTCGACCTACTGCTCAAGTCTTCTCCCCAGGGCGGCGGCCACGGCGGCGGCAAGAGTGGTTCGAGCCCAGGAGGAGAATCAACGGAGCAA